GGGGAAAAAATGAGAACCAAGACCTGTCATGTAAAGGTACAAGATCCCAATAATGAATGTAATTGTACTGTATACCTAAAATGTACCAATAAACTCAATAAAAGAAAAAAAGTGATATTAAAATTCAATCCATTTTTACAGAGCAATTATATTCCACATAATCACAATACCATCATGGATGCCCATGGAAACAACAGTAAAGCTGCTCTGACCTGTCACTGCCTCATTTCTCAAACTTAATTAGGTGGTATCTGTACAGTTAGGCATCGAGGCATACCCACTCCAAACTCACTGAATCGACAGCGCAGAACATGAGTCCTCAACATCAGTGTTTTAGCAATCTCTCCAGTTGAAACTGTTGAGAACTGAAGTTTGAGAACACTGCTCTTATATTTTAATTCATCCAATTAATTTTAAATCCCTAAAAGGGGATAAGTGGGGAATCTAGATATTGATCTCCTTTTGAATATTAACCTTTTCCTTATACACACAAGGACTAAAAACAAGACATTGTGGCTTGTTTGTTTTTTTTCCCCCACAAAACAAACATACATTTAAGTGGCTTAATCTCACAAATTACATTGCTGGCTAATTGCTCATTTTCTCTCCAGTCTATTTTTTATACTGATATTTGACACTTTAATTTTTCTACAGTTTTTCTCAGAAATAGTTTCCTAACAGAAGCATTGATCATGGCTTCCTTTTTCCTGGGTAAAGTATTCACAGCCATCTATTTAAACAGACCACCACACCCACATCCCAGCAGGAAGGTGAGAATTAAAAGAGAGGTTTTATTGATTGTCTTGCTCATGGCTCCCAGCATGACATGCAGCCTCTTCATCTAGAAATACAGTAATTTAGGTGTTGAGGGGAAAGCAGAGACACAATAGTAGCAGGAGGTCCAAATTTAAATTAAGCCAGTGATCAAAAAAAAAAAACTGGAAAAAATATATCTTGTTTCACACCTGAATTCATGTACTATTTTTCCACCATAAAATAATACAATCTTCAACTATACTTTGATTACCCATTTCTTTTCTTATACTTTTGCCAAGTCTAAAATCACCAGAAATCTTCTCAAATTATCATCTGACACTCTTAGTATTTTTAAATATGGAAAGTGACTCAATTTGAGGGCAATTTGCTGTCTTAAATCTGCTCCATTGAGGACACTTGGAAACAACTTGGCTTTTAAAAGAAAGATATAGGAAGCAATGCAGAAAGCCCTACAGAATGATAGATTTGTTTTATGTTTTGTGGATTACAAAAGAACTCCTTGGAAGTTCAAATTTCCAGTTATCCCTGGATAATTTATAACCCCTTAATGGACTGAAATCCTTGAGGGTAAATCCCTAATAGTCTGTTGGCAGAGTCCTCTGTACACAGCAGACACTTGGTTTCAACACTTTAGTGATTTTCCCTGCCAAACTGAATACAACTTTAATGAATTAAATACTATTTGGATAATTCAAATACACAGCTTCCGAAGCAATGATTAAAAACAGATTTTTTTTTATAACTGCATTGCCTGAGTCTAAATCCCACCTTCATCTCTTACCAGCTGTGTGAACTTAGCCAATATACCTACCTTCTCCATCCCTTCTCCATTTCTTCCCTGTAAAATGGGGATACCTAGACCCACACACACACACTGAGGAATCAAATGACTTAACACAAGTGCATAGTGCATGGTCTAGGACACAGAGATCAATAAATAATAACTGTTGTGCTTTAGCCTTATCAGAGAGAAGCTCCACAAGTCATTTTAGGAGGCACTAGAAGGAAGATATGCAAAAGCATTCTGACTTAAATTCCTATCAAACTAAATTAGCATGTCAAACAAATATCCTTCAACATTAAAACCGAGTTCCTTGGTACAACTTGTGAGCCCGGACACCCAGGCTCTCCTCTGTAACCACGTCCACTGGGCTCTCCCTGCACAACCTGTCAAAATAGATGAAACTCAGTGAGTCCACCAGGCATCCTCAGTACTCTCACTGAAGGCAGCCTTCCCTAAAAAATGTAACTTGAAAAACCCAAGGGAAAGACTAAATAAAGGCTTTGACTGGTCATGATGATCCTTCTCAAAGACAGCAGACAAGGACATGTGAAGTGTTTCCAGTTATGCTGAAAAAGCACGAGACTGGGCTCCTGCTGTTTTTCCCAGTCTCTCCAACCTCTCAGCTAGTAATAGAAGCAAAAACCCAAACTCATATATTACATAATAAATGGTTCCTGAAAGTCCAGCCCTCTCTTTAAGGTACACGGGATACATGCTCCCTAGTGTTACGGACTCTTAGCCCGCATGAGGAGAGGGAACGTTGAAGCAGCATAACACTGTAAGACAAAGGCACAGAGAACATGAAAAATACCAAACACCTGATTTTAAAACCCCAATGTGCTTTTAGCCTTTAGCAGGATCACTAGGTTGAGTTGTTAAAATGATTCCTTTGATCACCGATTTAGTTTCTCTCTCAAATTAATATTTTCATTCCTATAGAGAAGATATATTTTACAAGATTGAGGATAATAGCAATCTTGTAGATTTCCTGTCTTCTTTTTCATGTTGCTCACAGACAGACTGTCCCATTAATTATGTATACATGTGCAAAGAGCAAAACCTCAAAATCAGAATTAATATGTGGATCAAATTATCTGTGCTTCTTAGTTTCTTAAAAATAACTTGTACTTTTATTAATCATCATCATTATACTATTCAGCTTTTCAAAAGTTGATTTCTAGTACTATAAATATGAACCCAGTTTTTAAGGGAAGGTAACTGGATAATTTGGTGCAGATTGAAAAATATAATCTAATGTGTATAACACAATAATAACTTTCAGAGGACAACATTTATAAAAACAATGAGTCGATGCATACTAAAGTTTGGACCCTTGTTGTAACTCCATTCTTATATACCTATACAAAGGAAAAAATTTCAGCAAAGCAAAAGCAAGACCAAAACAAAAATCATATAATATAGCTTTTCTTTATATCACTGATCATGACATCTAACAAAATAGAAATTATCTAAAGACCCAAATAAGAAAAATGTAGTAAATTGTAGTTCTTGGATATGGTAAGCTATAATGTATTAAAATGGTAGTAGGATGATTTGGAAATATGGAAAGGCAAACTATAAAATAGTACGCTCATTATGATAAACTTTTATCATTTGTACAAGTACAGGAAATACACAAACAAAAATAACTGCAGAAGGTGGTGGGTTTATGGACATATTTAAAAATTAATGAAAGGTTTAATTTTATCAAAACAATAAATTTAAAATTTTGCCTTACTGCCAAAAGAAGTCCATGCATCAATTTGTTTTTCTTTTTCTTTTTTTTTGGTACCAGGGATTGAACTTGGGTCCTTGCACTTGCAAGGCAGGCCACCTAACCGCTGAGCTAAATCCCCAGCCCTTAAAAGTTTTATTTAGAATTCCATTTACTATGCATTTTTCAAAAATCAGCAGATCTCATTTCATAGACAGTAATGAGCTTTATTTTCTCAAGGTCTGAAGAATGATGCAAGCTTCTCTACAAGCTGTATTCTTCCAGTAAGACCAGCCAACTTTTAGCAAGTTACAGCCTTAAAACATAAATGGGTCTCAGTACCAAAGCTCCAAAATTGGGTCAACCAGCAAACCACTGACAAATTAGATAAACATAGTTGACCCTAAAGACCTAAAATAGCTATCATTTTATCTTATTAAAAAATAAAAATGAATAGGAATTCATGTTGGATGGGAACTGAATAGAAATAGAAGCAGACTACTGCTTTAGGGACTCATCAAGATTAAAATATTGAAAAAGAGAGACTTCCAATTAAATATGATCATGTGCACACATTTATCTCTGCCTGCAGGATGAATGGATTCTGTTTCAAATTCTGTCCCAACTAGACAATCGTACAAAGATACTCTAATCCAGAGAGTAAAACGCCTAGATTAGAGTGGAAAGGCAAAGGGCTAGGAAGGATGATGAGCCCTAGAGAATTACCCTCTCATGTTAGAACACACTAGGAAGTTATCATTTCTGTCCATTACAATTGACAATGTGATTAATTAGTAATAGGAGCACAGAACCCATAACAAAAGAGTATGACCGACAGAAAACAAAAATAATAAACTTTTAATATTCACCTAGTCATCATGTGAACAATGAATTGACTTGACCAAAAGTGGAGAAAATGAATTTACTGCAAGGAGTAGAAAAGGGAGTGGGAGTTGGGGTAAGAAAGTTTAATTTTCATCCCTGTGTAAGAAATCAATAGAAAACTCAGAAAAGTCAATCTCATTTTCCCTCCACCCCTAAACCATTAAAATGCTAGAAAAAAACTAAGCAAGGCCTGATGACTCTGTCTGTGTCACAGAGAAGCCTACATAAAATAAACATAACTTGTTTTCTACAAAAATTTCAAAGAGCACCATTCTTTTTATCAAACCTTAGTTTTGAATCCAACCAATCAATTATTTGCTGGGTATCCTCTGACCAGCTACTTCACTTTGCCAAGCCTTTATTTTCTCTCTTACCCATAAATTTCCTAGGCAGGCTGTGGAAAGATTTATATGAGATGATAGAAGTAAGTGTCTAGTGCAGTGAAGCAGAGATCCTCTCAGGGATAACCCCTCAACCCACTATCAAACCCTACATTTCTCCTTTGGAAATGGCAAGAGCCCAGCCCTGTTCCTTCATTTAGACATTATGAGACTGTCTTTTGCACCTCTAGGAAGTCTCACTTATTCAAGTGCAAAAATCATTATATCACAAATGAAAGTCCTTCTCTAAGGTATTAGCTTATTTTTAATCTAAATAAAATATTATAGGAGGATGAGAAAGAGACAGAGAATTACATAAACTTTCCCTTCCTCATGAAAATGATCTCCAGGGTAACTTCCCAACAATCCCATGCAACTCCCAACACACTTTCCTTGACCTCATAACTATTAAAGTAACCGTATATGTGGAACAAAAAGCAACTTTCCAGAGAGTACTGACCTTCAAGCCTGGCAGACCTCATCTTCCTCTTGCCCCTAAGAGAAGGAAAGCAGAGACCTCAGAGAGGAAAGAAACCAATTCTTATCCCCCAGCCTACCTTCCTCTTCCACGAGGGAAATCAACCCACAGCAACACCTACCTGCAGGCCAACATTTCCCATATCCCCCTGGGGTCCATGGAAACCAAGATGTCCCTAAAAGGTAAGATACAAAGGGAAAGTCAGTTGAGATGTCACACACTCCTTCTCTATTCTTGTGCTGTTTGATACAGAAGCCACTATCTACATGTGACTATTAAACTTATATGAGCTAACATGAAGTAATATAAAAATTTAGTTCTTCAGCCAACACTGGCCATATACCAGGAGTTCGATAATTACCTAGTGGCCAGTGGCTACCATATTGGACAGAACAGACATAGGCTATCCCCAAGAACTCAGAGAGCTGAGCACTCCTCAAGAAGCAAATGTAATTAAATTTGGATGTTTCAAAATGTCATTATCATACTCATCTTTTCCTACAGATTGTTTCTTTGGTGACACAGGGTTCACCATGCTAGAACAGCAGCCATACATATTCTTCAAGAAGCCATGCTTCATATTTGAAAATACTGATTTCTCTTTCTACTCACGTCATGTAGGAACCTGAGTAGCAGAAAGGAACAGGAGATAAAGGTGTGTCTTTGCACAAAGGGGGATCTACACACAGTGTACAGGTGACAACAGAGAGAAAGGTCCTACAGCCACATGAGGAAATACCCCAAGCTCTCATCTCCATAGAGTCAGAGTAAGGAAAACAAATGCATCTACATGACTTTTTGTTTTGTTTTGTTTCTTGAGACAGGGTCTCACTCTGTAGTTGAGAATGACCTGGAACCCACTATGTAGCCCAGGCTGGTCTTGAACTCACAACAATCCTCCTGCCTCAGCCTCCTGAGTGCTGGGATTATACGCGTGCGCCACCACACCAGGCTGCATGACTTTTTTTATTAAGTTTATTGGTACATTTTAGGCATACATTATGATCACATTCATCATTGGGAATTTGTACCTGTATTTCATATATATTGGTCCTTATTTTTCCCCTCCTCCTTCCCTTCCTTCAACTCCTTCACCCCTCTGTATTTACCTAAGCTTTGTTTCCATTTTTTCCCCTTTTCTTCATTTTTTTTTGTTTCCCTTCTTTTCTTTCCCCTCCCTTATTCCCTTTTCCCTTTGAACATTTTCTTCCTATTTCACAGTTTCTATTATACATTTTGGTCCTCATTTATACTTCCAGTTCCTCAGACCAGAGAATCGATTTGGTATTTACACATGTGTACCCTATTTATTTCATTTAAGAGTTCTCCGACTTTTTTTAAAATGTGTAAAGTGGAAAACAGCTTAGACTATGATGTTGTTCTCTTGAAGTATACTGAATTCTGTGGAAGAATAATTTATCTCAAATGTGGAAAAAGGAAAAATAATAATTCCTCATTTAAAAAATATGACACTGGAACATTTTTAAATTATCTCTTGGCACCATATCGGACTTTCTCTGGGAGAATAATTGCCATCATATATGAGGAAAGTTCCATAAACTAATAGTTTTCTTGTCTACTGGAACTATCTATAAGTTTTCCTCCACATTTGATGTTTCTATATTCTCAAATTACTATAGTAAATTTTACTTTTATAATTTTTTTTTAAAGTTGTTTATATGTGGGGAAAAGCTAGTTAAAGCTCTCTTGCTATAGGTCTGGATGTAATAAAATTCTTTGTTAAAATGTTCTCTTTTTTTCAGTAGTAAAAAGCATTTTATAGACAGTGTAATAAAGCAGTTTTAGGGTAGATATTGGAACAATTGGATAAAATATAGTTGAGAAACAGAAAATATACAGCCTTCAAATAGCCTTTTCCAGATTAATTATTCATTACAAAGAACATAAAGTATACTTCCTGTAAAGAAGTCTGGTGAACATCATCAAGTGATCAAACAGTGTCACTAATAATAAAGCTGATAAAGTGCCCCTCCTAGTTAGTCACTAAGAAATGTATAACATTACTGAGCCTCCTGCCAAAAATATTTAGCCTGCCTCTAGTTATGAAGAAACGATCAGACAAATCATAATTGAGAGAAGCTTAGCAAAATAACTGGTCTGGAATATCAGTGTTATGTAAACTTTAAAAAAAAAACAAAATTAAGCAACTGTTGTAATTTAAAAATACTAAAAAAGAAAAACAAACAAATGCACTGCATGGTCCTTGCTTAGATCCCACAACAACAAAAGCAGGCATGAAGAACATGATTAGGGTGTTGGGCTGAATATTTGTGGGAAGTTGCAAAGGTGTTAGGAGGCAAGGCCTTTGGGAGGTAATACAGGTCATGAGCATGGAGCCCACAGGAATGTGATTAGTGCCCTTATAAAAGAGGCCTAAATGACAGTGCCGGTTCTCTGTGTCAGGGCCAAGAATATGGTCAGCTGTGATCCAGGAAGTGTGCTCCCACCAGACACCAAATCTGTCAGGGCCTTTGGCCTTACCAACTTCCAGATCTGTGAGGGAAAAAAGGTTATTGAATTCACCTAGTCTACCGATTTCTACTGTAGTAGCCCAAACTAATTAGGACATGGGGCAAGGGGAGACATTTGAATATGGACTGTGTATTAGAAAGTAATATTGAATAACCATTATGTGTCTTGGATATAATGATTATAATGTGCTAGTACAAAATAATATTCTTTTTCTTAAAATATACTTGTTGAATATATAGAGGCAAAGTGGCATAATGCTTCTGATCCTCAAATGGCTCAGCAAAACACATGCAAACACATATGTATAAATGATGAAAGCACAGTAAAATTTGGTGCCATTCTTGCAACTTCAATTTTTTCTGTAGATTTGAAATTTTGCAAAATGAAAAGTTAGGGTAAAAAGTAATACAAGTTCATCACGAGCTATTTCATCAATTCAGAGAATAAAGTTAAGGGGGAAATGCCTAATTTCTGGTGATAAAGGAACTTTCTACAAATTTGGACTCACACTGAATATATTTTATAAACCAGCTTTTTTGGCTTATTATTAGATTATGGATTTTCTATATCAAGAAAGTCTTGTGTTTTTAATGTCTCATTTCCCAATAATATCTCATGTATGGAAGTAGCATTTTGTATATAAGCAATCTCTTTTAATTAGACATCTGAGCTTTTTCAAGTTTTTATTATTCTAAAAGTCTCTGCAATGAACAGCCTTGGCACTAAATCTCTGTGATTAGCTTTTAGATAAATTTCTAGGGTTGAATCAAGTAGAACAAAAGCTGTGGCAGACACTGTGTTGGCCTACACATTAGACCCTCCCCTCTTCTCCTTACTACTAAAATCTCAGTTTTATTTGAGGAAACAAAATACCCAACTCCCAGAGTGAATTATAAGAGAGATCTGAGCCAAGTCTGTTAATGTCAGAGGTTTATTTTCTCTGGAACTCCTGAAAAAGGCACAGGTTGCTGGGGAGTCCAAGACTGAGTTTGGGCCAATGAGTCACAAAGAGAATATTGCTGGGAGTGCCCTAATGGGCGAGGACTTAGCTTAGCTGGCACAATGCCTGCCTTGCAAGCATGAGGTCCTGAGTTCAAGACCTGGTAGGAAAAAAAAAGAAAGAAAAAGAAAACGCTTTTCCTTTTAGCCTTTCATCAAAGGTGAAGACAGAATGCTCAGAGCTGCCAAGCCTGACACCCTGAGGACGGCAGTGTGGAATGAAAGGGGTTGTGACACTGTCACTCAACAGTGTCACTGAGAGGGTGTGCCACACCTGGCATCCCCTAAACTTGGGTCATCAAACTCATTTACTACCAATCAAGCTTTCTGTCACTTGTATATTTAAAAACATCAAAAAATAGCAGTTGTAACAGATGTCCTTTTTTTCCTATTTATACAAAATTTATTGTAATATTTTGTTCAGGATTATAAGCCATCAACACAAGCACAAGAGGGAAAGGGACCAGGCTGCGGAATGTCACCAGCTTGTCTGTGAGAGAAATGGGCTCCACCCTTTGGGGGGCTCTCAATAGGAGGAGGGGAGAACAACTAGGCATAGAGGGCCTCCCGGTCTGCAGAGTAGACCTCGCCCTCCTGCAGGAGAGCAAAGTTGAGGAAGTGGGAGGGTCTGTGAACTTCATGGTAGAACTCTTTGGGGTTTGCCAGCTGCAGCTCATACTTCATGTTGGGATCATGCCGGACACCCATAACCCTTCTCCATTGTTGGTGGGAGTGCAGAGTGGTACAACCACTATGGAAATCAATATAGAGATAGTTCAGAGAGCTGGGACTAGAGGTTCCATTTGACCCAGCCATCCCTCTGCTGGATATCTTTCCAAAAGAATTAAAAGAACCATACCACAGTGATATATGTGCACCAATGTAACAGCACAGTTTGTAATAGCTAAAACCTGGAAACAGCCCACCTGCCCATCAGTTGGAAACTGGTAAAGAAGATGTGGTTTTTCTATAAAATGGAATACTAGTCAGCCATAAAGAATGAGAAATTAGATTCATTCATAGGAAAATGGATACATATTGAGGATATACTCCTAAGTGAAATAAATAAATCACACATGTATAAATACTAAATAGTTTCTCTGGTGTGAAAAATTATAATAGTACATAAGATCCTAATGATATAATTGACCATGTGAAATAGGAAGAAAAGGGCTAAAGGTGTAGGGGGAATGGGAAGGGTAGGGGAAAGGTAATAAGGGAAAAGAAAAAATATGAGAAAATGAAAAAATGGAAATAAAGTGTTTGTAAATGGGGAGGGGAGGAGGGGTTGAAGGGAGGGCACGGACAAGGGGGGAAAATGAGAATCAAGATCTGTCATGCAAAGGTACAGGATCCCAATAATGAACATAATTGTACTGTATATCTTAAATGTACCAATAAACTCAATAAAAAAAAATAGCAGTTATAACAGATGTCTTTGCTTATTGCCTTCCCCACAGAGTGAACCACTTTTAATTCTCCCCTGGAGTGATTGTTTCCCCACTATTAGGT